AGGGTGCAGGTGGTGAACTGGCACCCGGTGAGCAGCGCACGCCCGGCACGGTGCCACACACCCAGGAAGGGAGACGGTGACGCTTCTTGCACTTAGGATTTAAATGCCACCAAGGTTAGGAACAGCTGAGAAGAGATTTTCAGGATTGGACTTTTGGAACGGAGATGCCTAAATTCCATCTAAGCTTCCCTTTAAGCATCCACGTCCCGGGACGGCCCTGGGGAGCTGCTGTCACCCTCCACGTTGCGTCACTGCGTTGGCTGTTGACCAGCTCTGGGGATGGCAGAGTCTCAGAGCCTTGTGGCACGGGATCCCCAATTCTGGGGTGCCACTGTTGGGTTCCAAGCAGTGATGAAGGTTGAAGAGCTTGGGGTTGGGGATGGCAGCGGGTCAACGTGGAGCGAAGGTGGGACGTGGTGGAGGCGGGGGCCTCTGGTGGCCCTTTGGTTCCCCAGACAGAAGCAGAGAGGAGCAGCATGAAGCCCTTTAATGGCGACAAGACAAACGCTGGCACCGCCAGGCTGGGCAAAGCTTCACAGGGAACATCTCACCTCCATGCAAGCTCTGCTCCTAGAGATGCTCACAGTCACACCTCCCTGCTGTCCTCTCCAGCACTACAATGAGGCAGATCCACGTTTCAGTTGGGCTCCTGGCCCTGCAGCTGTGCCTGCCGTGGCCCTGTTGGCCCGGGGACCCCCCCAAGGGGGGCTGCACGTACCTGAAGCGCCGGTGGAACTGCATGACAGCTTGCTCCTGCTCCCGTGTCTCGATGGAGCCCGGCCGCAGCCTGCGGATCTCCCGGATGGCGTCGCTGCCGCTCATCTTCTGTGTCTTCACCAGGTAGCAGGCCAGCATGGTGCCCGTCCGGCCGTGTCCCAGCATGCAGTGCACAGCCACCGCCTGCGCCGTGACACGGACACCCCACGGCATCACCTCCCTCCAGGTGCGACCTCCATCCTGCTGTCACCCCCCCAGTCATCACCCCCTCGATGTCTCCTCTCTCACGGTGACATCCTCCTCGTGGTGTCACCCACCGTGGAATCACGTATCCCCCACTGGCAGCACCGCCCCACCATCACCGCCTCGGCGTCACCTCCATCTCAGTGTCACCTCCATCTCAGTGTCACCTCCATCTCAGCGTCACCTCCATCTAAGTGTCACCCACCTCTTGCTGACACCCTCCTCTTGGTCACTCCAATACCACCCCCCTATCCTTGGCATCACCTCCACCTCGGTGCCACCTCCATCTCGGTGCCACCTCCCTCTTGCTGACACCTCGCTCTTGGTGCCAACCACCCCAACATCACCCCCCCCATCCTGTCATCCCCTCCTCTGCCACCGCCCTCGTTGTCACCCCCCAGTCCGTACCTCCCCGCGACCGTTGGCCTCCTCCACCAGCTGCAGGAAGCTCTGGATCTGTCCGGGTGTCGGTGGTGTGAAGTCAGGCACACGGAATCGGTGGAGCTGCAGCGCGGGGCAGCAGCCGTGATGCGGGGGGGCCCTTTCAGACAGTGACACCAGATGCTTCACGCCCCGGCCCAGCAGGAAACGGTAATGGCCCGGCTCTCGTGGCATGGCCAGCCCCGCCAGCCTCCCCTCTGCCACCCACGAGAAGTTGGGGGGCTCCACCATCGCCTGCGGGGTCCTGTGGGATGGGGACGTGGGACGGTGCTGCCGCGCAGCCCGGAGGCAGGGCTGTGCCGTACCCCAAGCCCGCGGGACCCCCCAGCACCGCAGGGTCAGGACCCCCGGGCTGCGCCCCTCTCCAGAGCCCAGCATCCCACCCCATGCTCTCCTTAAGACCCCTCCTCACAAACCCCCCAGTCCAGGCTTCCTGAGAACCCTCCCCCCCCCCTCCCCGGCCCGCCTCCGCCGTAGGCCGCACTCAGCAGGCCCGGCCCTGCGGCCTACCCCGAACCGGGACCCCGGCCCTGCGGCCTACCTTGAAGGAGACCCCGGCCCTGCGGCCTACCTCGAACCGAGACCCCGGCCCGGCCTGGCCGCTCCCCCCCGCCCCCCTCCCCTCCTGCCCCGGGCCTTCTCTCCCCTCCGTACCGGGGAAGGCCGCGGGGGGGCGGAGCGGGACAGCAGGGAACGGCGGAATCGATCGCAGCGTCGGAATCGGGAGGCGGAGGCCGTTGGGCTCCGCGGTTGCACCGGGGCGAGCCTCCCCCCCTTCCTTCTACCCCACTCCCTGGGGGTGTCGGGACGCGGGGCTGCACCCCATGGAGGTACCGGGAGACCGGGACTCCTCCTTTGTCCTTGCTTTGTCCCCTCCCCAGCCTCACAGAGGGGGACAAGGGGGGTTTCCATGGACTGGGGACAAGGAGGGACCCCAAAGTGGGGGGATAAGGGGGTCCCCATGGAGGGGGACAAGGAGGGACTGCATGGAGAGGTCAAGGGAGGGATCTCAAGATGGGGGACAAGGGGAGACCCCATGGAGGAACACAATGGAGCACCCCACAAAGTTGTTCTCCTCACCCAAAGCCCCCACCCTCCAGCACCACAAAATGCACCCAGCGCTGCTTGTCGATTCCATTCCTTCTTTTATTTGCTGCTACGTGGCTTTGGGGGATGGAGGTCAGGCAGAGGGGACTTGCGGAGGGGGGGGCACGCGTTAAATGGTGGCAGTGGCAGCCAGGAGCCTTAGGACACAAGGTACACCTCACCCTCGATCTTATAGGGGAAGTTCGTCCAGCTGAAGATGGGGGTGGCGTAGGGTTCGTTGTAGTCGAGCATTTTCACCTCTGAGTTGCTCAGCCCCACGTCCCACATGTAGACCTCGGAGATCTCCCCCACGAAGGACTGCTGGGCGTCGAAGCCTCCCCCGAAGGCGTCCTGCTTCTGCCCCAGCACCACCACGGCCTCGTCGCCCACCTCGTAGCCCTTCTGCAACCCTTTGCGGGGCCACGGGCGTCCGTTCAGCCAGAAGCGCACGATGCCGGTGGGTGACTCCCAGGTGACGCAGACGAATTCTGACTCCGCGTGGCTCTCGGGGATGGAGAAGGCGACGTATTTCCCCCCGACGTAGAAGCGGTACTCGGTGGGTTTGAATTTGAGGAGGAGGATTTCGTTGTCTTGAGCTTTGGTGGCGTAGGAGAAGAGGCTGTGGGGCCGCGTGAGGTCGGTGTAGGAGCGCAGGCACACGGTGAAGTTGAGCAGGGGGTGCTCCGGCTGCGCCTGCACCAGCACATAGGAATTGTTGGACTGTTCGGGGAAGACGAACACTTTGTTCTTCAGGTCTGGGAGAGAGAGGAGAAAAAAATGAATGTCCCTCGCAGAAGGAAACCATCAGATGTGGAAGCGGCCGCTGTTAGCCGTAGGGGTGGCTCCCAAGCATCTCGAGGTGCAGCCACGCGAGGGCTGGTGACCCAGGGTGATGTTGGCACGGGGTGGGGAGCAGCTCCCCTATGAGGACAGGCCGAGGGAGCTGGGCTTGTTCAGCCTGGAGACAAGAAGGCTGCGGGGTGACCTCAGTGCAGCCTTTCAATACCTAAAGGGAGCCTACAGAGGGGAGGGGAATCAACTCTGAGAGGGTTGATACGTGTAGGACGAAGGGAAATGGTTTTAAGTTGAGGGAGGGGAGATTTAGGTCGGACATCAGGGGGAAATTCTTTACCCAGAGGGTGGTGAGGTGCTGGAACAGCTGCCCAGAGAGGCTGTGGATGCCCCGTCCTTGGAGGTGTTCAAGGCCAGGTTGGATGGGGGCCTGGGCAGCCTGGTTTAACATTTAACGTGGAGGTTGGTGGCCCTGCATGTGGCAGGGGGGGGGTTGGAGATTCATCATCCTTGAGGTCCCTTCCAACCCTGGCCATTCTGTGATTCTGTGGTGAGGAGGAACTGGAGGAAGGAGGGCACAGCTGGGAGGACGGGTTGTTCCTTCCCTCCTTACCATCTGTCCACAGGTTGTAGGTGGCCACGGCGAAGCCCCGGGGGCTGGTGACCTTGCAGGTGTAGATGCCCAGGTGGGTTTTATTTAAGGAGCGGAAGAGGAAGATGTCACTGGGGCCTCTCTGCAGCGGTTCCTGGATCCCTTTCTTCTCCCACACGAACTCCTTGGGGCTGCGTGGGGCTCGGTGTCACCCAGGTGGGGTTGCCCGTGGGGCGGCCGCGCTGTGGGGTGGGGGGGCTGCCTTACCCTCTGTCCCCGGTGACCTTGCAGCTCAGCACCAGGCTGTGGTACATAGAGGGCACTTGGGGGGAGCTTTGGATCCGGGCGCTCAGTTTGGCTGCGGCACCTGGACGGAAGGACGGCGCCGGGGTGGGGGGGTTTCATCGCCCTGCCACCCCCCCCTCACAGCCCCACGTCCCCATGTGTCCCCTTTTGCTGTTGTACCCCCTCAGTGCCACCACCCTGCGTGTCCCCATGTCCGTCCCCCCACCTGCTCCCCAGGGGATCCTTCATCCCTACCGTCTGGGGCAGCGAGGCTGCAGAGCCCCACGAGGAAGAAGAGGAAGTAGAACCGCATTGTCTCCGTGTCCCCACCGCAGTGACAGTGGCAGAAGTCCAGGGCACTTCCCAGAAGAAGGGCATTGCCACCTGACTGCCTCCCTCGACTTTCCCCAGTGAGGACATTGTCCCGTGTGACGCCATGGGGACATCGACTTTCGTAATGTCAGCAATGGGCAGGAAGCGTGGGGACCGGCGGCCGTCCCCAGATCCGCGTCACCCCCTCCCGTCCCTGGCAATCCATGTGTCCCCGCATCCCCAAAACCACCCCCTCCCCTCCCATCGCCAGCGGGATCGACGCGCGCTCCCTTTTGTCATCGTCACCTGGAGTTTTCATGGTTTATTTTGCTGCAGGGGGAGGACGAGGATCCCAGGGCAGGGAAGGGGCCGGCGCTGCGTGCCGTGGGGACTCAGCAGGAGAGAGGCGACCCGGGGCTGTTGGTGTCCCCATCTCTCCGTGCATCACATCCCCGCGGCTGAGCCGAGCGGGCGACGCCGTGCGGAGATGACAGCGAGGATGGAGACAGCGAAGGGGAACGGCTTGGGGGTCTCAGGCCCCCAGCGCCTCACGCAGCCGTGGTTTCACCACCACGTCCCCCTTGGCCTCGTAGTGGAGGCGTCCCCAGGCCAGCAGCGCCGGCGGCAGCCTCAGCGCCAGGTAAGCGGAGCGCATCTTATCGGGGGGCAGCCCCGCGTCCCACAGGTGGACGTCCGCCATCTCCCCCGTGAACGAATTATAGACGTCGAAGCCTCCCCCGAAGGCGTCCTGCTCCTGCCCCAGCATCACCACGGCCTCGTTGCCCACCTCGTAACCCTTCTGCAACCCTTTGCGGGGCCACGGGCGTCCGTTCAGCCAGAACTCGGCGATGCCGCTGCCTGACTCCCAGCTGGCGCAGACGTGTTCCCACTCCCCGCGGTTCTCGGGGACGCGGAAGGTGACGTATTTCCCCCCGACGTAGAAGCGGTACTCGCCGGGTTTGGGTTTGAAGAGGAGGATTTCGTTGTCTTGAGCTTTGGTGGCGTAGGAGAAGAGGCTGTGGGGCCGCGTGAGGTCGGTGTAGGAGCGCAGGCACACGGTGAAGTTGAGCATGGGATGCTCCGGCCGCGCCTGCAGCAGCACGTAGGCGTCGCTGGGGTCCTTCCGGAACACCAACACCTTTCTGTAAAGGTCTGCAGGGGGGACAGAAGGGGGGTGGTGGGCTTTGCGCCTTCCCCCGGTCCCCTAGGGGGTGGCTCTGCCACGTGGTGTCCCCGGTGAGGGGCGTCCCCATGGAATGGTGTCCTCTCCAAGTGGTGGAAGGACGTCGCCATGGAGCGACGTCCTCGTGGAGAGGTGTCCCCAGTGAGGGACGTCCCCATGGAGTGACATCCCCGCTGCGTGACGTCCTCACCGAGTGATGCCCCCCAGTGAGGGACGTCCCCACTGCACGACGTCCCCATGGAGTGACGTCCCCAGTGAGCGATGCCCTGACCGTGCGATGGCTCCAGTCAGGTTCCCCACTGAGTGACATCCCTGCTGTGTCAACTCCCCACTGAGTGACATCCCCAGTGTCCCCCACCAGAACACATCCCTCTGAGTGACATCCCCACCGCGTGACATCCCCATGGAGTCACGTCCCCAGTGAATGATGTCCCCACCAAATGATGTCCCAACGTGTGACGTCCCCATTGAGTGACGTCCCCATTGAGTGACGTCCCCATTGAGTGACACCCCGGCCCCCTGATGTCCCCCAGTGTCCCCATACCTTCCTGGGCCATGGCAGCGGTGACGGCGCTGAGGACAACCATCCACATCGGCGCGGTGCCCATGGTGCCGCTGCGCTGCCGGCTGCGGACTCGGCGGGTTTATGGGGTGGCTGGGGTGGGAGGGGAGCCCCCGTCCCCCAATCCCATCCGCTGGCACCGATGGAGCTGCGATTTCACGGTGTCACACGGCTGCAGCACTGCAGCACGGGGCCGTCCTGGAGCCGTGCCCGGGGCGCGTGGTGCGGGGTCGGATTTGGGCTCACCCCGCCACGAGGCATCGCCTCAACCCCGACCCTTCTGTCCTCTGAGCGACTCCTTGTGTCCCCTGCTGGTGTCTGTGCACCTTCTGGGGCTTTCTGTGCCCCCTG